TGGTGACCAAACCCTCGGGCGGCACCCTGGAAGGAGAGTCCAGCCAGGAATGTCCCGGCTCTGAGCCCTTTCAGCGCTCTCCGTCCCCTAATTAGGGTGGCAACACATCTCAGCGGCTGCTTGTGACTGCTGCTGTGAGCTGAATGTTGATGCCCATCTTTGTGCTCAGATAATTTCCCCGAGCAGTGAAAACTAATAATCAGTGGGATTTTCAATAGAGCCTCTCCATTTAGTGTCAGCGAGTCATTTGGCACTTGGGGTTTTTTTTTTTTTAGGTTAAATTTAATTTCTTGCCATGTTTCCTAATTAAGATGTGTAAGATTCATTTTGATTTTTTGAAAAATTCCTTCCCAGGAATGCTTATCTTGGCTTTGGAAAATGTTTCATCTGCTTATTTTGCAGCTCAATTCCTGCTGGGGTCGTTACTGCATCAGACATTGCGGGGCTTCTTCCGGATTGGACAGGGCGGGGTCTTTATGTTCCAGACTGCTGGGGGCAAAGGCAACCTTTTTCCCTCCTCCCTCACCCTTTCCACACCCCCCATTGGTCTTCTTCGGGCCTTCCTCTCCTCCGCTGTACACCAGCCTGGCTCTAGCATCCATTCCTAGTACTGCCCCAATCCAGGCTGGGAGTGTGGGCTTCAAAAACAAAAACAACGACGATATTCACATTAGATAACAGGTGGTACTCTCCCCTGCTTTCATGGATCCTATCTCTCCTCCTGACTAAGGGATAATGAATTTGCTCCCCAAGTTCAACTTGGCCCTCTTCTTTTATCAACCTGTTTCCTACATCTGATTATTTCATGCTTTCTGGTGAGAAGTTGCCTCGTTTGTTTGTTTCTACATCACACCCAGGGCCTTGGCATCAAGCTATATCTCCAGCCCTTAAGTTTTGTTAAGTATTATTTTGAGACAGGTTCTTGTTAGTCAATAAATAGCTGGGGCTGGGCTCCAATTTGCAGTCTTCCTGACTCAGCTCTCAGAGTGCTGGGATTACAGGTAGGTGCTATTGTCCTCCATTTTTTCCTTCTCCTCCTTTCCCTTTCCTCTAGCCCTCCAGGCACTCGAAAATCTAAAAAATGTTTCATTCAGAGTCCCCGGCCTGGGGTTAGTGTGGATTCAGAAAACACCACCCAGAATACAGGTGGGAAGTAGGACAAGCAAAGATCTGTTCTTCTGAGGAAACGAATGCCTGCCTGGCTCCACAGGCACAGTGTCTACGGCACAGAGGAAGGTCTCCTGCACAGGGCTCTGTGCAACAGGGAGGAGCTGCAGGCTTTGCACACCCAGGACAGCTGCTGACCCACAAGAGCTCAGGCCACAGCCACTGGGCACCTTGGGAGGTCTGGTGGGCAAGGGTGCAGACTCCTTTTCCATGGGGTACTTCAAAAATCCCACATGCATACATTCCCTCATCAAAATAAGAAGTGGAATCATCCTTAGTTACAAACCCATATAACTAAGAGACCAGATGGGTCACTTTCCACAAGGACAGAGCCCTGTGCCATCTAAGGGGGTCAGCTTGGGGAGGAATGCAGCACAAAGGCCAAGCCTGAGGTATAGATGACTTCCTGTGATGCTCCCAGCCGTAAACCAATAGCTATTTGTCAACATTTTAGTAATATTATCTCTGTGTTAAAGCTCATTAGCTCTTGGTTTGTGGCAACAGGACTAGACATATTCACTGTGCTTGTAAAGTTATTAGCCATCAGTTTGTGACCCCAGGACTAAATAATCATTTGCACTATTCTTTTCCATACTCACTCTTTAATTCAGTGGTCCTAAAGCAAGAATAATAAAAAATCACCTCTAAAATTTGTACAGCTACGTTCAGTTCCCCCCTATTATTTTTGGATACAGCTGTGTGTTTTAAAGGTTTATGTACAGGAAATATATCCATACCAGTTGTGTTCTCTCAACTCTGCTACCATGAGCCCAGGTGAGGAAAGGATCTGAGGAAGTGAGGTAAAACTGAGCCCACAGTCCTAATCTTCCTGATTGCTTTGTAAAATCCACTCTTCCTTTGAGGAAATGCTAATTTCTAAATTATTTTGAGTGCTACTGTTCTTTTTCAAGACTAACACTATTTGGATACCAAAACTCATGGCAGAATCACAAAAACAACAGTAAGGATGGGCAATTACATTTTATAATTACTTTTTTATTGAGTTCAGGGCCCTGTATGCATCCTAAACACATACTCTATCACTGATCCACTCCTCCAAAGCCAGTTACAAATATTACCCTAAATAAAACATAAGTTGAACCAAGCATGGCATTAAAAAATAATACAGCATCCAGAGCACAGTTTACTTTGGGACTGTAAGAATGGATTAAGCATTATGAAATACTGATGACTCAGAATAAAAACTGATTATGACTCTAAGGGACAGTTGATGGAATTTAACATTCTTTCCCAATTAAAAGCTTATGGTAACCTAGGCATAGAAACATTAGTTTAAAGACAATAACGTTTTTGAACAGTATCTAACATCAGTGAGGGACACATGCTTGTTTGATTGCATTAGAGATAAATGTTCATTATCTTCTTCTATATTCTTCATATTTTTAAAATTTTGGCCAAAGATATAGGAAGAAAACTATAGTATTTGCAGGTGATGTGCTGTCTACATAAAATTTAGAGACATTAGCTGATGAAGTTTTAAAACTAATAAGACATTTCCACAATGTGGTATGATAAATACACAAAAGACAATAAATTTCCTAAATTACAGAAATGAAAAATACCTCATTGACAAAAACAGTAATACATCTAGGAACAAATGTCAGAAGAATTGTCAAATTTACATGAAATATATATATTTTAAAATGCATTTATTGATATTAAAAACCTAGGGATTGGGGTCATTATGGCTTGTATCTAGATGTCTCCGCAAAGCTTATGTGCTAATAGGTGGGGTTTTTGGAGATGCCTGGATCATGGGTGTGTGTGATGCTGAATTAGCATGTGTAATACTGAGATTAACAGTATGATAACTAAGTCAGTTTGGCATTGTTCTGGGTGTGGATGATGAAAGCCTCACCTTGGGTGTGAGTGTCACCAATCAACAGGCGTATAGCCTGGATGGAATATAAAGGAACAGGTGGAAGGCAGACTTGCTGCCACCTGTCTGCTCTGCCATGGGCTGTTTCTTCTCTGCCACCCCTCTCTATCATGCTCCCCTGTCTTGAGCTAGCTGACTATGGACTGAAACCTCTACATACAGTGAGCTTAAATAATCTTTTCCTCCTTTAACTTGTGGGTATCGCGTATTTTGTCTCAGCCACAAGAAAAATTACTAGGATGGAGTGTAGCTCAGTAATATGGTGCATGATTTGCAGGCATGAGCCTGGGTTCAATTCCCTGCACACAAAAAAAGATGATCTACCTAACATGAAGGGATGTGTTGCCAAATGGGAACTCATCATTTTGGAAAAACTTGAAAGCAAAGAAAATTAGGAGAGGGGATTCTTTGTGAAAGAGAAAACATATCACAAAGTTTTAATAATTATGACAGTGTGGCATAGCATAGGAATAAGCAGATAGTTAACAGAATATATAATGATGTTCAGAAACAGATCTAATCAGCTTGCTGATTAGTGGAGACCCTCCAAAGTAATAGGGAAAGAATTGACTCCTCAATAAATGATATGAAGGCCCTTGTTAACCATTTGTCAAATTTTCCATAATTTCTTTTCAAACAATTTCATTTATAATAATTAATTCCAAAGAGGTTAGTGGATAAATGTGAAAACAGTATCTGTATAAGAATGAGGTTAAGGCAGGATGTTATGGCCTGTGTGTGTGTGTGTGTGTGTGTGTGTGTGTGCAAAGCCTCATGCAGATAAAGTGGAGCTTTCTTTTTAAGAGGTGGCTGAATCTAGACTGTGTGATTACCAAACCACTACACGAGTGATTGCTTTGACACTGCCCTAATCCCGGTAGCCTGGATGGGATAAAAGGGGTAGAAAGTTGCTGTTAAGGTCCCTGTTGCTTTTGCTACCATGTGGGTGCTACAAACTGTTTCTTCTCTGCCACACCACCCTGCCTTAGAACCAGCTGATTATGGACTGCTGAAACCTCTACTAACTGTAAGCCAAATAAACCCTTTCCCCTTGAACTTTGTCAGGTATACTGTCTCAGCAATGAGAGAAAAGTAACTAACACACAGGAAGATCACAAGTTTGAGCCCAGCAATTTAATGACTCAGTGAGACCCTGCCTCAAAGCCGGGGCCGGGGGCTGGGGATGTAGTTCAATGGGTTCAAGCTTCAGTACTGCAAGAGAAAAATAAAAAGGTTTATTGTAGTATTTTTTTGCAGCAGTATAAAATTGGAAACCACTTGAATTTGTCACAGTAAATTATATCAAACTGTGTGTGCATGCAGCACACATAGAAACCATGGAATGTCAACAGTGTACTTTAAAATAAGAGGTCCTTTTTAGTACCGGAGATCGAACAAAGAGACATGACCACTAAGCTACATTCCCAGCCCATTTTTACATTTTATTTTCAGACAGGGTTTTGCTTAGTCGCTTGGGCTCAAATTTGCAGCCCTGCTTCAGCCTTCTAGAGGGCTGGCATTAAAGGTGTGCACATCATGCCAGGTTCCTTTTTATTTTTTATTTGGAAACATGGTCTCAGCTACACAGCCAGGCCGGACTCCCTTATGATGTTCCTGTATCAGCCTTCCTAAATACTGGGATTACAGGTGTGTGCCACTGTGCCAGATTTCCACACGGTTGTTGAAATTTGTATCATATTAAATGAAAATTAATTTTAAATCTGTAGGTATTCTTTGATTGTTTTTTCTTGTACTGTGAAACGTAGGGCTTTTGTGCTGAACTACATCCCCAGCCCTTTTAAGCAGGAGGTTTAAATCCTTTCCACTCCGTAGCCGTCCAGGTACTAGCAAGCCCCTCCCATAGGACAGCGAACTGAACCCCGGAAATGAGCGACTGGGCGGGGTAAACTTCCGGGAGCGGGGCCGACCGGGTGCAGCGCTGATTGGTCGGCTCCGACGGAAGTCGCGAGGTTCGGTGGTCTGAAGACGCTAGCTTGTGACTGGGAGGGGGAGAAGGGAGGCGTCTGTGGAGGATTCCTTTCCGTCCTCTCGGTCCTGGCGACCTCACAGAAAGCCAACACTCCAGTCCCTCGGCTAGCCCTTCCCCTGGCTCTCTCCCCTTGATTTCGCCACCGTTATGTGGGAAGCGAATCTGGTGAGTAGCCGGAGGGACTGGGCGGGCCCGGTGGGCGGAGTTGAGAGGGGCGGGAGGGGTTCCCGGGAACTGCTCCCGGTGCCCGTGTCCGGCTCGGTGTTTTGAGTTCCGCATGCCTGAAGTCCCCGGCGCTTGCGGGACGATTACACTTTGCAGCCTGCACTTTTGAGCCGTGGAAGTGTCTCGATGGGAATCTTAACACTTTATGCTTTCTTTTTCCAGTTGTTTGTTATACTTCCGGTGATTTCCCCACGTTCCTTCACACCGATTTTTTTTCTTTTAAACTGTTTTGCTTTCTAATTGGAGTTTCTGGGCTTGAGACCTGTTGACCCCCGTCCCTTTGCCTCCTGTGTCTCTGCCAGTGCCACCTGATTAAAGTGAGGGGACGCAGACCCCGCCCGTGTCCTGAGCCGACCTCAGGAATCACCGTACTCCTTTTCCGGTTTTGGTATACAGCCCCTGAAAACTTGAAGGATGTGCTGTATTCCCTAAGCCTTTAGTGGTGAAATTCCTAAGTCTGACCTCTTTCAATGGTGCGACCAGTGATCCAGAACGTGTCAGCTTCAAGTCTGTCTCCGTCCTTGTTTAGCGCCGATATTTGCGTTATGTCAGCATGTCTGTCTACTTTGGTTTTATACATTCATTTGTCTAATGTGCAACCTTCAAAGAGAGGAATCTCTGCACCAAGAGCATCCCGTTCTCTGTTATGATTAAAACCCGCTAGCGATATGGCAAATGGACCCTACTTCTTACCTAGGAGTCGACTGGGAAAATGACAGAATAGCATTTCAACAAATTTCTGGACTCAGGACGTAAAACTCCCATGTGAAAACTGCCTAAATTTAATAACTCAATATCCATATTTGAACTAATTTGCTGTAAATCAGTACTCCCTGTTTCTGGAATATCTTTTCTAATACATAAGTTTATCAGAAAATGTTCTCATTTTTAGGTTTTTATCCAGTAGATCCCAGCTTATTGATCTGAATTTGGTAGTTGCGCATTATAGTTCCATCCCAGTCCATCCTGTAACACTAGTCATCATAAAAGCCTTTTTTGGGTCATATATGTAATGCTGTCATCAGGTCATATTTGAGAAATATTTTGCTTATATTTGATTTTAGCAAAAATAATTTAGGATTATGAGAATGTATTCTGCTTATATTTACTTATATGTAGTTTCACCTATCAACAGTCTTCACTTTATATGTCTGTCTCTGTGTACCACTGTGTGTGTAGAAGCACATACCATTTTATTAGCAGTCCTCTTATTCTCCATGACTGTTTGGTCACCCACATGTATGTCTTGCTCAAGGTCGTATATTTTAAATTGTTTTCTTGTGGCTCTATATGATCGTGATTTTTTTTATATTTACTCTTATATTTTAAGCTAAAGAACAGGTCCCAGTAAATAATAAATATTGGTTGAATTGTTGATGGTGATTGAATCAATACTGTATTAGAGTGAGTTCTTTGCTTTCTTTGTTCATTCTTCTGCATTACCCATATGTACATCACAGTTTCCTATTGAGTCTTATGTGTGTTTGTGAAAATTATAGAGGCCCTAGTGGATCCCTTGTACCTTATAAGGACCTTATAAGTAATGTTCAGTTTTCTCTAAAATCCCCCTGATGTTTTTCCCTAGTTTCAACAGAGCAGGCTGACTTTTTTTAAATAGTGAGCTTCTATATATAATCCCACATTCTTTTTACCGTATGCCAAAGATGGCATAATGCTACTGTTTTGTTTACCTACTGATACTACTTTTCTTTCTGTGACTTTTAAAAATATTGTCAATAAGCACAATGTAGCTTTTATTTTTTTAGTTTAGTTTTTAAAAACTTTGTGCTGGTGGGTTTCTCTAGTACTTTGTTTTTTTTGTTTTTGTTTTTAATAGAAGGATCATTTGGATAGTCTGTTCAGCTGTGCTTATGAAATACAAATTGATTTTAATGCTACCTTAAGCCATATAATAATTGAGATTTTTAAAAATTAGTAAAACATCCACAGTATTTCTCCTAAAGATAAATGTTGATGATTTTGGCATCATTGGCAAATTTAAACCTCAGTTTACCATTTCCTTCCACTGCATGAAGTAAATACTGTTTTGTGAAGGAAGACCATTCTTAACTACTTCAGTTGAAGAATTATGTCTAGTTTCTCCCTGTATATTTTTGGTAGTATCTATGTCTTTAATATGTATCCTGTGACCTGCAAATGTACTTTCTGTTGTGTCTGTTGCAAATATACCTCCATGCTGTGTTCCACTCACAAATGTTTGAACCTGGCTATGACCCTACTCAGAAGCAGCCTCCCATTCCATGTGAAAAGTCTCCAAGAAATGGTTTGAATGTGGAAAATCACTAATTGCAGCATTTCCTTGAAGGAAAAAACCCAACACAATATAACCAAGGGGTGATAATTAAACTTTGTCTCAGTTCATTGTTTTGTTTTATTTTTTAAGACAGACATGAGGCGTGTGATGATTTTGTTCACATTTGTCGCTGACCAGGAACCCCAGGGTAAGCAGAAGATTTCTATGAGGCAGGTCGTATTGACAGTGGTCAGAAGAGCTCCTGACACTCCTCCATTCACCGAGGAGGGAGCCCGAAACTGACATCTCCCGTTTGGGAGAGTGGCCAGTCTGTTGGAAGCAGGTGGAGGGATCGCCATTAACTCCCTGAACCCTGACTTTGTCCTGCTTTTTCCCAGTCTCTTTGTCATTGCTTCATCTCTTTGCTGGAATTATATTAGACAGGAAGGAGTTTTGACTTTTCTCTGTCACACTGATGAAGGCAACTGCAAAATGACAAGAATACAAGCTCCTATTTGCTTGAGAGTACAAGCTGTCTTTTGCATTGATAATACTTTATAGAAAGTGCTAAACTCTTCCAAGATTCTTTTCCATATATTAACTACTAATGTTAGAACAACCCAGTGAGTTAGCTAAGGGAGAGTAACATGCTTTTCCAAGATCATGCAGTGATTAAATAGCACCCAAGACCTTTCCCATTCCACTTGATAGTAGCAGTATATTGTATAATGTGCTGTGCCTCATCTGCAAAGTCACTTTTTTTGCTGTTATTTTGTATTCACAGTTGCTTCTCAACTCTCTTGGAGTTATGATTCTATCTCCATTTTCTGTCAAGTTGCTTGAAAGAATAATATTATACTTTTTGTCATTCTTTCCTTTACCCCAGCTTCTTCAGTCCAGCTTGTGCCTTAACACTTGCCAGGAACCTTTGACTGACCACAGCCTCCCTATCAGTCATCAGTGTTAGTGGCATTAGAGGTTTGCCCATGCCCTTTCCTTGGTGCCCTTGGAACTGCACTCCTTTGAGTTTCTTCTTTCAATGACTTATCCATGAATTATAATCCCAATTATGCTGCATCATCCCCCTTCTATGGCTGAAAAGTTCTGCCTTTAATCTTTTCCCCCGGCACATCCTTTTTTTTGTGATCTGTAATGTTTCAAAGTGTTACTTTGGTGAATATGCCTGCCAAGTGTACATCATTAGTCCAGGCCCCTTCTGGAGCTGGGTAATAGACAACTGCTGCTTTTCCCTCTGATAACACAGACTTTGTGTGTATATGCTAGACTTACACAATTATTAACTCATTTCACTCAGCAGACAGTATCTACACATGCAGAGTAAACACTAGTGGGGGAGGATATAGACATGGGTCCATTCAGAGCCTAGCCTGCAGGGGCTTGCAGTATAACAGAAAGTGATGTCTAAGGGTATCTGGGGGACCAGTAGGTTACCTTTGAGCCTGGTCTTCAAGATACACAAGTGGGCAAATGGGAAGATTGAAGGAAGAAAATAACCAAAGCCTGTGAAAGTGAAAGAATGGTAGGTTCATTTTGGACTGTGGAATGAAGTGGATAATTACACCCATATCTGATAACTAAAGCCTCAGTATTGGCATCAGCTGAGAAAGCAGGTGGAGGGGTGTGGGCAGTGGTAATTAACTTTTATGGAACATCTCCTCTGAGTCTGACAGTATATTTGGAGATATTCACAGGCTGGGATGTGGCTAGAGGTAGGATGTGTTCCTGGAACTGAAAATTCTGTAGAGAACATAGTACTTGTGAAGATGTGTTCCCAATATTGTAGTTTATTATCTAGGGCCAACGTATAGTCAGGGATTCATTTACTGGTATCTTTATTTTCTTGGCATTATTTGTAATTGTTCTACCAGTGATTAGCTTAACCCATATCCACCCGAGGCACAAAACAATCACTAAATAGGCTACTGGAACCCTTCACTAGGAAAATAAGGTGTTAATGCAGCAGAGTGCCCATAGAAACAAAACTAGGGTAGGGTTATGGCAGTGCCAAAGGAAGGTGTGCCTGTGCTTGGATTATCTAATACTTCTGTTATATGGGGATTGTTAAATTATCTTTGATTTTAGTACCTGTACCAAAGATAACAGCTCGGTGAACTGTTTGAATAAGGGCAGACCAGCTTGTACATCTGGAACTTTCTGGCTTGAAAATATATAATTTTTTCAGCCTAACTTAGTATATAGGATATGCTGTGAGTAGAAAGAACCTATTAAAATCACTGGGAACCAAAAATTATGGAAGGATTCCTAAGCTGCAAAATAAGAATGACTTGTATAAGGCAGCCAGGTCCACTTTTTTCTAGTGGTGTACATAAGCAACAGTAAAGAAATAGTGTGTCCGCCCCTGGGATTGGCATGACAGATCCAGTGTAAGGCCGAGGATTAAGTTCAGTCATTTTCATTAGCAGAGAGGATAACAAGATCTGGGATGTTTGTAATACAGATCTGAAGGAATAGGATGGCCTATGTGGCCTAAAATGCTAAAGCAGAAATTGCGGACCTTTGGCCTACGCAACTTACACTTCAACAGTTAAACCTTCTATTAAGCGAATATCTGATGGCACACCTTCATTTTTGAGCACCCATTGTGAGCCTGGTGATGCTAAGTCCCAGGGTTGATAGTGGTGAACAGATTAAGCCCAGCCCTTAT